CGAGCATATTTGTCAGGTCGATATCAAGTACCCCTTTCCGTTCACTCGCGCACACGTTAAGGACGATTTTGTTGAAGCAGATATTTGATTTACATTCATTAGTACAATATATCCTTTGATCCGAATAAGTGTTTGAAGACTTTGAGGTTTTTGAGACTAAATTGCAATGGAAATGATTCCGCTAACTTGCAATGGTGACTATAATGTTAGCTTTTGATATTCACAATTATATGCAATTTTTTTTTCATTTGTTATGAATAAATAAAACATTTCGCCGAATCCATCAGAGTCTAGTGAATGCAATAGATTGTGATGATATAGACTCGTTACGAAATGCCCTGAATTCTGTATCCAAAGTTAAAAAGCATGAAGCCGGTTGCGATGTTAATAAAGTTAATAAGTATGAGTTTTATTATCTACGTAGATATGTGAGTGAATAATTCAGTCCAGAATTCAAAATACAACCTAGCACACAGACCCGTGACTATAGATGAACAATTAAATATAGTAGATTCTCCTGATTTCATATTTCAAAGGAATAAAAGTGACATTTGAACCGTTGCGACAAACCAATTCCCTCAGAATATTTCAGTTTTAAAATACAACATGAAATTTTTTTCATATGGATTTGTTGTTTTAAACTCTATATAAAAAAAATAATCATGTTGCACTTTGAAACTGGAATATTCTGAGCGAATTTGTTTCTCGCAACAGTTCATCATGGTGCTCTATTGTTTCTCACAATGATAATTTCGCATCTAATGTTTAAACATCATGAACGTAATTTTTTTTTTCAAAAATAACGGATGTTCTTTCCTTTCAGTCAAAGCCCAATCTCCATGAGCGACCAATTCACTTCGCTATTCGGTCACATTGTGAAGAAAATTTGTCAGCGCTGCTTAGAAATGGAAAGGTTATTCTTGATGCAAAAAGCATCTTGGAAAAAAACCCATTAAGTGTCTTAGCTGGAGATATTTCCGACGAAAACTTTCCAAGTGTCTCCCCGTTCCGAACTGTTGATTAAACATGGTGCTGATGTGGTTGGCAAGCATGGAATAGATGCGATTACGAACATTATGAATAATCAAAAATTGAACCATTCCAAAAAGGAAGAGATCGTGAGTCGAATGAACAATGGGTATTCATTCGTCTGTTCTTTGCACTGAAGCGAAAAGAGGAGGACGACTTCCTTGAAGAACTAGAGCAAGCTAGAGTAAATCCAGTATCATTTAAACAGTTGTTTACTGCTTCCCTGGGTGTCGAAACACTATTGATTGCTGCTATTCGTGAGGATCTTATACGTGCGTTGGACAGGATGATTCAATTGGGAGCCGATGTAAAGAACATTTAAACCGATATAACCAAATTGTTTGCTGTCAAACTTTGTCTCGCTCACGGCAACTGTCACACTGACTCGTTCGTGTACGAATTGCTGTTAGCGTAAAAGAGACTTTGTTCGCAGTGGACTCAGTTTAGATGTTCTTTCGTTGTTCAGACAACAAAAGATGTGGTGTCTCCGGTAAAAGAAGCGTGTATTCTTGGTCACTGGAGATCGCTGGAAATATTGTTGAAATCAAAAGAATTGGATTTAAATTCAGCAGCTCCATTAACATTTGTTGTGGAATTTTTCGGTTACAAAGATGATTATGAAAAGTGTTTTGAAATTTGGTTGAACCATCCAACTATTGACATTAATCAACAAGATAAGCGGAATAATACTGCTCTGTTTTATTCGGTCAAATACAACAATGCTCTTGAGTTGCTGAACCGAGGTGCCTACATTGGAGTTCGAAATAAATTTGATCAGCTCTCGAACCCGAAAATTGATGCAAAAGGGCTTGAAAATTATTTTAATAGTTGCATCAAAACGGATGATACAAAACCTCGTTCAACGAGAGACAATAATTTTGAAATTGAGTTTGACTTTAAGAACTTAGTTCACCCTCCACGCACCGAAAGTATTACCGATGTGAAGACTTTGATTGAGAACTTTTCAGAATCGAATGACCTCAAGCATTTAACAATGCATCCCTTGATTACTGGTTTCCTATCCTTCAAATGGAATCAGCTGGCATGGTTCTTCGTCGCACATTTTTCCTCGTGTGCATTATTCGCTGTCATCACCGTTCTTTATATTTTAGGATATTACAATTACCATGAACCCAACACATTGAAGGATAAAATGAGTTTGTACATATTCTTGTTTACCATTTATAATGCAGCACGAGAAATATCTCAACTAAAGTTTTTAAAAAGTATGGAGAATTACTTAGGATGGTTACTGGCTGTATCTATGATGTTGATTTTGTCCGATGTTGGTTCAGATACTTGGCGTCGTATTTTTGCAGCTACATCAATCCTATTAATCGCAATCGAAATCTTCCTTTTATTTGGGTTACTACGAATCCGGTATTTTTATGCTCATTATGTCATGTTGAAAACGGTTACCTGGAACTTCTTAAAGAGTTTCTCACTGTATGCCATCATTCCATTGGCATTTTCTCTTTCGTTCTTCATTTTGTTACATGAGCCACTGAAAGAGAGTACGAAAGGTGAAACGAATGATGACAAAGCTGATGGAGATTTCAATACATTCCCAAATATTGGGCTATCAATTATAAAGACGTTGATGATGTCCACAGGTGAATTCGACACTGCCAGCATCAATTTTAAAACAAATGCCTTTAGTTACATCATTTTCATGACATTTGTATTCATCGTTCCAATTGTTCTTTTGAATTTGCTGAATGGCTTGGCCGTGAGCGATACGCAGACGATCAAATCACAAGATGAACTAACAACATTTTTGAGTTTAGCACAACTCATAGCTCAACATGAAGGCGTATTCAATATCAGGTAGAAGGATTCGTCTCTCGAGAAAAATATGTATACATATACACCACAGGCCATAAGTTTGGATGAACCCCTATGAATGAATTTGGCCCAAAATTTTTAAATTTCAAACCGCTTGTCCAATTTCAACATGCTATACGTCGTTGGAAAGGTCTCAGAGAGTACGTATCATTTTTGGTATTAAACATCAAAATCAGCCAGCTTTTGGCCAAGATATGGCTGATTGAAGATTTCGGCCAAAAATTAAAAACGGCCATATCTTGGCCAAACGCCGGCCGATTTTGTTGTTTAATACCAAAAATCACATCTACTTTTCAAGACCTTTCCAATGGCGTATTTAACTTTTTAATCCGATGGCCCGTTTAAGACTTCGATTTTGGCTCCCACAGCTCAAAGGCCAAAAGATGGCCATAGGCCGGCCAAATGTTATCTTCCAAATCATCCATTCGGTCAGAATTTCGATATATTTTCATATCCAATACTAAATTTCAAGTGAAAATGTTCAAAAAACGTAGAAACAAACGTTTCATAAGGGTATCCAAACTTATGGCCTGTGGTGTATGCATGTAATTTTAATTAAGTAATGATTTTGGTTTGATTTTTATGGCAGAAAATTCATGGAAAGATTCATGTTTCGTGCAGGCATCTTCATATTCAAAAAGGCACAGTCGGACTGTCGCATCATAGTTATGCCAAATGACAATAACCAGATTATTATTCCCTGCTTAAGAGATCATGGAGAACCGCATCGTTGCCGTCGTATGGATTCAAAAACCGTTCGCTTTGCCCTTGAAGTATTAAAAAATAAAAACAGAGTACAACATGAAAGAGAGGAAAGAAAAAAATTCAGTGAACAAATGACCAAGATGGAAAACATAATGAAGTTTGCGATAAGGTCGAATAGATCGGCGATGAAAAAATTCTCTGACAAACTTAACAAACGAATTATCAAAATTGCGGATCGATTGAATGACCTATTGAAGAAATGAAACAGATCAAGTTTTTCAAAAGTTTCTTATTTCTCTGAAATGCAGATTTTTAATTTTCATTCAATCTGTACTGATATTTTTCTCTTATAATAAAAACTCTTCATCAAAATAAGTAAATATAGCCTTTCCTTCAAGCGATTATCAAATGTTAAACTGCAAATGAAATGCCCCGAATTTAATTATCTGATAATAGTCGCGTGACAAAAAACCCCTTTGAGACTAGTTTGAGAATGAATATGGAATTGCGTTCCGGACGTAAAAGTATTCAAGTGACGACATATATTAAATAAACGTTGTGAATGCATGATGCATCATCTATTCATTTGTATCTCTTTCGCATCTCATTGCTTCTCTCATTTCAAGTGACTTTCTGCCTGCAATGATTAATGAAATCAACGCTTGAAATTGTATTGGCCGTCGTAAAGAAAGGTTACAGCTCAAACCGTATCATTGAAAGAAGAGATATTTGATGATTCGGCGTTGACTCATCCGAATTGAAAATTTTAAATTCCGCTGAATGTGTTTATGTTTCTCTCACGATATCAAATTATCAATTGGAAATGTGATAATTTAGTAAACCAGTTTTCAATAGTCTATGATAGATGATTTATAGTGAGAAATGATGTCTACGAACATTGAACACCTCCATGCACAATTTTGCATCATATGTTTGGAACAAGTTTAACAAACAGTAAATTTTAATTAAAAAAAATAATCAAATTCAATAATCCGAATTTCGTTGAAATAATTCTAGCCGAGATAATGTGTGAACCGTGACCATTCTTATCCAAGCTGATATAGCGTGTATTAAGTCTCTAAAAAAATGAAATTATTCAACATGCTGGTTCTTAATCTCTAATGAAAGTGAATTAACAATAACTCAAACCGGCTGCATTAATAGCAATATTGATGGTCACGTACGACGGCAGCGTTTGAAATGCCGCATACCAATGTACACAAGCCGCAACTGATAGTGAAATCGGAGTTCTAATGAATGGGAAGGCGGTTATTCTATCAAAGAGAATGGTTGCACATACGGGTACGTAACGCTGACGCGATCATATGCTCACTGGAAGCTCAACTGGAACGCATAGAGACGTTGCTCTATGACGAAAACAATGTTCAATTTGACATATGACTCCATTCCAATTGAGTTCGAAAAAGCGATCCGGCCTTCGCTGCTCATGCTCAATTCCAGTCTCTCACCGTTTCTTTTTGTTCTCATCATATTCGCTGTACGCATATTTACCTTCCCGAATAAAACAAGTCTGACAGTATAATTTTGATGGTGGAAGGAGAAACACTGCTTCGCTCATCGATCGCACCAAATTTTGTACAGACTTTTTTGTGGTTTAATATTCAAGTGAATTGGTAAGAAAATTATTTCATTTGGTTATCGGGCGATTTGTGCACTATTTTCAATAGCTAAAGTTCATCAAATAGTGAAGTCATCAATAGTGCGTAGTTCAAAAATCGTTTTTTTGTTGTCTTCCTGTTCTCATTGGCTCTAGCTTGTAGTCAAGGTCAGTTTGTTGTTCATCCGCATTAAATACACATATATGTGGTTCTTGTGTCATCGTTATTTCTCTTCTCTCCTTCAATCGCTCTTTTTTAATTCTCCCGATGTATTGTGCTTGTAAACCCACAACATTTCGTCTAAATTAATCAGTCGTCGAATAGTTGTGTGTACGTGAAGCGAAAAAGTGTTTGGGTTGAAAAAGCCGACGCCTTTTTAAGTAATCTGGCGATCGCGGTTGCCGCTCGATCGGTATTTTATCGAAAGACACACATGAAAAAAAAAGTGTTTACACAAGCGAAAAACATTTAAATTTGTATCTAGATTCTGGTTTCTATCATTAAGTGTTTTTATTCACATGCTGACAGAGTATAAACAGCTCACCGCCGCTCATAATTTAGCTCGGTCAGTGGTCAGTGATCAGTGATCAATGCATTGGATTTTTTTACTGTGGGGAAAAATGCGTGTGAATCATCACATACATTCAAATTTTTATGCAACCTACTTACACTGGGCCCGAATATTCATTCACGGAATTTTATTGATTAGTCATTTGTATCGTTGCAGAACGACTTCATACACACAAACACAGACAAACACATCGATCAACGAACATATGAGCAATGGATGAACACCTGTTGATGTGTTATGGCGATCTGCATGTAAGTATTTATATATATCGTCATAAACAAAATAACGTATGCAATATTTTGGGTTTTCATGAGAAAAATATTTGTAATCAAACGCATTTGTTGTGTCTTCAATCATGCGTGTTAATTTACATTTCAATCGTTTATCGTTTTATCGGCAGAGCCTCGCCAGTGCACTATCGAAGCGTGACATCAATGCATTCCGACGAGTGCTACAGTCGCCGTCCGATGTGGAAAAATACGATTCGGAAAATCAAATGTCGATCTTTGAACAGGCTTGTCAAACGCCCGGTTGCGCCGAATTCATCGAAGAATGTATTTTATCTGGCTGTGATGTTAATAAGGTAATTTATTTATCGAAAAATTATGGAAATTCATGATTAAAGCCTAATTTTTATGTCCAAAAGGTTGAAATATTCCATTTAGATAGCACCACAAATGCGTGGCGCTTAACAATAAAAGACAATTAGTAAACAGAACGATTTCTCGCCAGTTTTTAATTATCAACATTTTTTTTGTCACTTTTCAGCTAAACCCGGAATTTCAGAAGCGACCGATAAATTTTACCGTCGAGTCTCACAACTATGATAATCTGTGTGCTTTATTGAGCGATCCAAATGTGAACGTTGATTCGAAATACTCGTCGCTGACACCGATTAATTTTCTCGCCGAACAGATTACGGACAGCAACTTCAGCAACTTGTATCGTTGTATCAAGTTATTGGTGAAGCATTGTGCTGACTTGAACATTCCGGGACGTCGTGAAATAACACCAATTCTCACCATTTTGAAGAATAAAAACTTGAGTGCACCAAACAAAGAATTGATTGTAACGTATTTCCTTGAAAATGCCGATGTTGACATCGATACACCACGGAAAGGTGAAGCCAGAACCTTGATTGCAAAATTGATGCCAGATTTGCAATTGCAACCGGTGCGTGAACCAAGCACCCACTTCGATTTCAATCGTTTGATGGTCTGTCTTCTCAATGAAAATGAAATGGAATTCTTGCGAGGACTCAACCACATCGCTGAACACACTCCAGAGCAGCTACCGGAACTATTCCGAGCTAATGACAACAATGAAACAATGTTGATTTTGGCGTGCAAAAGAGGAATGCCATTGGCTGTCGAGCGAATGCTTCGTTTGGGTGCTGACATCAATGCCACGATTGACACACCACACGATCCGCCCAACCCAATCAAAAGTGCGTGCATCTTTGGCAACTGGAAAGTGTTGGAAGTTTTACTCAAGTCTCCAAAGTTGAATTTGAAAAACTCCGGCGCTTTGCTGTCGATTATTGTAAAACATATTGGCGATCAAGTGACACCCAAGTGCAATTACGAAAAGTGCTTCCAAATGTTGTTGAACCATCGAAACGTCGATATTAATCAAAAAGATTTGAACGACTGCTCGGCCTTGCACTATGCAGTCAAATTCAACAATTCCCGTGCAACTCTTGACCTTCTGAAACGTGGCGCTTTCATCGGTGTGAAAAATAAATTCAATCAACTTTCGATATCAAGCATCAATCCAAAAGTACTTGAAAAACATTTAGATACTTGTATCACTACCAACGAATATCGAGCTGGGGATGATAATTTTGAAATTTATTTCGATTATACGAATTTGGTGCCGTTGGAAACGCGCGAAAGTACACAGCAATCGGCTGATGAGGGAAAAAAATCGCTGGATGCGTGCCCTGACGAAATGGCCACTATCGAATACATGTCGCAATCCAATGAACTCAGACATCTTATCCGTCATCCGCTCATCGCGAGCTTCTTATTCTTGAAATGGAACCGACTTGCATTTATTTTTTACGTGAATTTCCTGCTGTGTTCATTGTTTGCCGTGAGCACAGTTTCGTATATTTTATTTTGCTACAACGAGGAGCCGAGTTCGGTGGAAATAAAACAGTTGATGCGATGCATAACGACAGTGCTGACTGTTTATATTGCGGTGAGAGAAATATCACAGTTTACATTTTCGCCGCGTGTTTATTTAAGCAGTTTGGAAAACTATTTGGAATGTACTTTGATTGTGCTTGTGGTTCTGATTCTGTTTGATATATGCTCCGACGAATGGCGTCGGACCGTGGCAGCCACATCAATTCTGATAATTTCCATTGAAATCTTCCTTTTGGCTGGTTCGCTGCCATTTTGGTCATTCTCCACACATTATGTCATGTTGAAAACAGTTACTTGGAGTTTTTTGAAGAGTTTATCACTTTACGCCATCATTTTATTGGCATTTTCACTGTCATTCTTCACATTGTTGCGAGACAACCCGAAAAAAGGAAAGGCTGACAATAATCAAGCATACAATATTGATGTTCGACAACAAACAGAAAATACACCAAAAAGTGACGGCGATGATGACGACGATGGTGAGCTGAACAAATTCAGCAATCTCGGCTTATCAATGATGAAAACTCTCGTTATGTCAACGGGAGAATTCGACGCAGCTAGTATTAATTTCCAAAATAATCCATGGAGTTACTTCGTTTTCATCGCATTTCTCTTCATCATTTCCACGGTTCTCCTTAATTTATTGAACGGTTTGGCCGTCAGCGATACTCAAGTTATTAAATCCGAAGCCGAACTCACCAACTTTATTCGACGATGTCAAGTGCTGTCTCGATATGAAAAAGCACTGCTGGATACCAACAGTTGGTTCAGGTAAAATAGGAAATTATAAAATATGTAATAACATGGTGAAATTTATATTCTCACTAAAAATATTGAATTCAGTGAATAATTCATTTTCATCACATTTTTCAATTTGCAGTTGTCCATCATTTATGAAATATTTCGCCCGCGCCACAATCAGTGTCTTTAAGGAATTGAAGCCAGTGTTCCAAGTTCGTGTGAAGCCAAATGACAACAATCAAATCTCACTTCCTGTCCCAATAGACTACGAAAAGAAAACGGATGCCATTGAAAACGAGATGCAGCCGATACAATGCCACAATTGCTTCTCTTGCTTCGGCAAATGCTCGCGAATGGACAAGAAAATCGTGAAACTTGCAATGGTTGTGCTTGACAAGGTCAAAATGGAAAAATTCGAAGAAATTGAAAAAGATCTGCTGAACGATCGCATCGGTAAAATTGAAGTTTCACTTGAAAATATCACGAATAAACTAATTACTCTCTTGAACAAATAAGAAATATGATGCACAAATATATTCATAAACAAGTTTCTCCAGAAACATGTGATAATTATTTTTTTTAAACTATATCACATGCTACTGGGCAATATATTGAAAATTTTAATGAAAATGTTTTGAATTAAAAAGAAAATAAAGAGATTTATAGAATCCGTTATAAAATTGCAGGTCTTTTTAATGTGTATTGTTGTTGTTCATTTTCCCCTTCGAATCTTGTCATAATACTACGTAATTCAAGCAAATGTTTTTGATATTCGCATTTTTTGTGAACCCGAACTGATTAGTCTTAAAGAAATTTTCGTTTCGAAGAAATCGTATCATTTCTCTCTCGTATCATTCAATGAATCAGTTTGTTTTTTTTTTCTTTTGTTTTTGTTTTTTCTTCTATGGAAGAAGTGAGCAACTAGTAGCTCAATTCGATTTCCCCGTCCGTATATGTCAAATATGTAAACACCGAATTAGGTTACGTGTATTTACACTAATACACACGCAGGCGAAACGTCAAACGAGAAGAATATCAGAACAGAAAATCAGTGAGTTGGTCACCGGAGAAAAAAAACATTTCAATTTTACTTGAACAAAGTATTAAAAACCAGCAATAATTTGAATGGAAATAATACGAAAAAACTAAAAACAAGATGATTTCAATACTGAACTATCTCGATTATTATTTCATGTGAGTACAAACGAACAAAATATGAAAAAAAACATTCTGTGTATTTCACAACATTGACTTTTGTTTTTCATCGATTCTTTTCTGTTTTGCAGTGCAAAAATACTTTTGCTTTGGGTTTTCATATTGGTTTTCAGTGTGATTGCTTCAGTTTATCTGCTTCGGCGTCACGTGTTGAACAAAAAGTTGAAATCTCGTGGTCAGCAGCAGGATGTCGTCCAGGTTGGAATTTTCCATCCGTACTGCAATGCTGGCGGAGGTGGTGAAAGAGTTTTGTGGTGTGCCATTCGAGCTCTCCAGCAGGAATATAACAGTAAAATCCGTATCAAAATCTATACCGGCGACACGAATGTGAGCGGCGAAGAGATACTGCAGAATGTACAGAAAGTGTTCAACATTAAGTTCGATGAGAGTGAAATTGATTTTATTTTCTTGCAAAAACGCTACTGGGTCGAAGCAGAACGATATCCACGCTTTACGCTGCTGTTTCAAAGCTTAGGTTCAATGGTCATGGGAATGGAAGCACTTTTCCAATATCAACCTGATGTTTTCATCGACACAATGGGCTATGCATTTACTTATCCACTGTTTCGGTACTTTGGAGAGTGCAAAGTTGGATCCTATACTCACTATCCAATTGTCAGTACGGATATGCTGAAACGTGTCAAGAATCGTGTGTTTGCGCATAATAACCAAAGCTATGTGACGAAAAACCCATTCTTGACCTGGCTCAAACTCACTTACTACCGCATCTTTGCAAAGGTACGAGACACTGCAATGTTTCGTTTTTGTTCTATTTTTAACCGTGTCGTTGTTTGTGTTAAAAATAAATCATTGCAATTCTGTTCATTTTTATTTAGATCTACGGCTGGGTTGGTCGTTCGGCTCTGACAGTAATGGTGAATTCATCGTGGACCGAAGGCCACATCTTGGATTTGTGGAATATGCCGTTTCAAACACATCGTGTCTATCCACCATGTGAAGTGTCACATCTGAAGAATTTGAAGCACATTGAATCAGATAAAATTATCATTCTGTCCGTCGGTCAATTTCGTCCAGAAAAAGACCATCCATTGCAATTGCAAGCAATGTATGAGCTGAGAACATTGCTTGAGAAGAATGAACCGCTTTGGGAAAAGGTTTGTCCCCCTGGAATAATCAATTCTCTTGTCAAATTGTCATAAGTTTATTCAATTTTAGGTGAAATTGGTGATAGTTGGTTCATGTCGTGGCAAAGACGATGAAGAGAGGAAGAAGAGCATGGAAGATTTAACTAAACACTTATCGCTGGAAAACACAGTAGAGATCAAAGCAAATATTCCGTACTCCGAATTGATTGAAAATTATCAAAAGGCTTCGATTGGCTTGCACACGATGTGGAATGAACATTTTGGCATTAGCGTTGTTGAGCTGATGGCCGCTGGTCTGGTCACCGTCGCAAACAGGTTTGTGATATTAATGGTGATGATAAATAGGAAACGTGGTCAATTTGTATGTTTAACTCATTTTCAACAGATCAGGGGGTCCGCTAATGGATATAATTGAAACATCCGAAGGCAGTCGAACTGGATTATTGGCCGTTGATGCGCTTGATTATGCCCATTGTATCGCAAACATACTGTACAACAGCAATGAGGAGAATGATACTATACGCATTGCTGCCAGGTTTGTTGTCCAAATATTCAATTTCAACAAATTGAAGTCTTATCGCATGATTATGACATTTTTCTTTTTACAGATCTTCATGCGATCGTTTCTCCGAGGAAGAATTCGAGAAAAACTTTTTGCGAGCTGTTACTCCACTCTTTGATGACTGAGCCCAAAGCATTTAATCCAAATACTAATTTATTTGCCGACATCGATTGCATTCGACATTTTTAAACACATTTCACCAGAAATAAAATCGTCTACAACGAAGTTTCCTATTATTTTCACTATAACTATAGTTTATTGAGAAAAAAATCCTCGTTTTTGTTAATTGTAAATACAATACGTATAGTATACGTTATGTTAGAAATATTGCTTGCGAAAATAAAATTGGAGAAAAAAAATTATTCAAAAATGTGAATTTTTGTACTGGAAAAAAATGAACTCTTTCTTACAATGACATTCCATGGCGCTAACAATGTATATATGTTTGTATAGTTGTTCAATTGTTCACTTGTCAAAACTGTCAAATTCAATGAAAACCGTTGTCAATTATGTTGCATGCTCTGAAATTGTAATTTTTGGACGAAATTAAAATGGATCCAAATAATAAAATAGAATGGAAAATAGTCACAATGGCAATAATTTAGAATCGGTATAAATATTGCAGAATGATTTTTTTGATTCGACACTGTTCAGTATCTCCTGTGCGAAAATGCGAAATATTTATGTATTTATACCTATAAGTGTAAGGATCATTTGAACAAAGGTTCAAATTTTGAAGAAAACGAAATGGGTAAATTGCTGAAAAGCTACATATATGTTATCACTATGAATTCACCCGTTTTATGTTTCAAGATGTTCATTTGCCAACACTTAAATGCTTCTCTTTAATAATGAGATTTGCACTATAGCAATAACCAATAATGTTCAACGACATCGCTTGGACAGTGTTATTGATTTCAATTTGCAGCCAAACTCTAAACTTACATACATTCCGTTCACCTTTGGCAAACTTGAAAGATTTGAGTGTTGTTGTTCTAAAGATAGCACCATACCATCGTGTGTTTTTGACTTAATAACCGAGAATAAACACTTGAAATCAATTACACTGACCGGAGTAAGCGATGGAATAAATAGATTATTTCAACTATGTTCTGTGTTGACAAATATTGAAGATTTGGACGTTGGTCTCCGTAAACCTATATAATTGGATAGTTTTGTGAAATCGAAAATTTCCAAAATAGAAAATCTAGGCTACTACACCAAACTGACATTAAATCCATGAACGGTGGAATTTTCTTTGAATTAATACACATTGTTTTTTCAACAACAAAAATGAAGAATAAATCTGTTCTTTTTCAATTTATTCAATATATATGTTTTTTATGAGACGAATTTATTGAAGAATATTTATTGTCGTTTCTTTTAAATATTCCACACCATTCTGGGATAACGAAAATTTGCATTTTTATTCATTCAATGCATCCAATGTTTTATATGGAAGAACTGAGCAACGAATAGCTCAATTTCAATTCTCCGTCGATATAGTTGAGCTATTCGTAAACACAGAACCAGATTTTGTTTCTTTTTTAGCTTTGTCGCTATATATTTCAAGAAACCAATTTCAATAAAATTCAAATTAACTTCAGATCTATGGCTAGGTTGGTCAATCAGATTTGATAGTAATGATGAATTTGTCATGAACTAGGAGATACATCGAATATCTGTAGAATGTTTGAACGCATCGAATCTACCTTCCATAAATTCAGAAGGTTCACATCTGGACAATTTGTTTTTTAAGTCGGACGCAATTACCATTTTGTTGATTGGCCAATTCCGCCCGGAAAAGGATCATATATTGGCCTGTTCAAGCGCAATACTGTACAGCTGTACACAGAAACCAAAATCATCATCAATTACAGTGTTTTCCTGTTATTTCCACTCATTTATTGAGAAAAAATCCTCGTTTTTTATTAATTGTAAATACGAATACAATAATTAGAAAAATATTGCTTGCGAAAATAAAATTAGAGAAAAAATATTATCCAAAAATTTAAAATACGATTCTACTGAAGACAGCTGTGTGTGTGCATTTGGATACAAGTCTTGAGTTTACATTTGGAATGCGATTAATAATAATTTAGTGTTCTTCTTTAAATAAATGGACTTCCTAAATATACACTTCACCTCATTTGGTTAGGCATAAAAAGGCCTTTTGATTGCTTAGAAAATTGTCTTGATTTACTTTCTTAAATACACTTGCTGATAATCCTGTCAATTTCGTGTCATTTTTAGAAAAAACCGTGTCCCGTTTTGTATGGAGCTTGGGCCATTTTGTACAGAGTTCTAATGCATATCATCTTAAAGGGTATTGTGTGTAGATAAATTATATATAGATACCCAACCCCTAAATTGTGAGGAAAGGGGTTAAAATTGGGAATATGTTGCCAACCCCAAAATACAGGTATCACTTCCCAGGGCCATAGCTCCCTAACTAAGGGAGGTAGGGCAATACTCCTGGGGTCAGAGTTGTAGTACTCATGAATACCTATCCAAAGGTATACATAATATTTCCATTTGTTCATAGTAAATGAAAAATACCGTTATATGAAAAAATGTTATTTTTTGGGTAAAAAAATCATATTATACCCATTTTATGGGGCTGGGGCAGGGGCTGGGGCAGGGGCTGGGGCAGGGGCTATCACTTGGGTATGTTCAACAAAGTTGTACAGCGTTCTAAGGAGAACAATATTGCTCCAAACTATTTTGCCCCATCTCCTTCAATAACGGGTCTACGGCCCTTTACTCTCATAAAATTTTAGCCTGGTACAAAGAGCGGTGTTCCTTTTTGTGTCGTACGATGTTTATCAATAAGACTTATACCGAGGAACAGTGGGGCGTAGTGAGTATGTCGATAATATCAAGGTTGACCTGCCCTACAGGGTGTAAACGGGATGTTATAGGGGTGAGTAATTTTTTCAATACCGACACATTGTTGGACAAGAAATAAACCATTTAGTGGATAACTATGTATGGACGAAGTGTTCAGGACGTTGCATAGTATCTTGGGTGAGGTCGCCCTCCACAGTTTGGCCCGAAAGAGGGCCAAAAAATGCACAAAATCACCAAAACAAACATATGAGGCATGTTTGACCCTTTTTTGGCCAAAGGGATGGAGGGCGACCTCACCCAAGATATTATGCAACGTCCTGAACACTTCGTCCATACATAGTTATCCACTAAATGGTTTATTTCTTGACCAACAATGTGTCGGTATTGAAAAAATTACTCACCCCTATAACATCCCGTTTACACCCTGTAGGGCAGGTCAACCTTGATATTATCGACATACTCACTACGCCCCACTGTTCCTCGGTATAAGTCTTATTGATAAACATCGTACGACACAAAAAGGAACACCGCCCTTTGTACCAGGCTAAAATTTTATGAGAGTAAAGGGCCGTAGACCCGTTATTGAAGGAGATGGGGCAAAAAAGTTTGGAGCAATATTATTCTCCTTAGAACGCTGTACAACTTTGTTGAACATACCCAAGTGATAGCCCTTGCCCCAGCCCCAGAAAATGGGTATAATATGATTTTTTTACCCAAAAAATAACATTTTTTCATATAACGGTATTTTTCATTTACTATGCACAAATGGAAATATTATGTATACCTTTGGATAGGTATTCATGAGTACTACTGGAAAGTGATACCTTTATTTTGGGGTTGGCAACATATTCCCAATTTTAACCCCTTTCCTCACAATTTAGGGGTTGGGTATCTATATATAATTTATCTACACACAATACCCTTTAAGATGATATGCATTAGAACTCTGTACAAAATGGCCCAAATGGGACACGGTTCTTTGCTTTCCCATTGGGAAGTCGGTTGTCCATAATAAGAAATTCGAATTTTTTTTAAATTTGTGCCTGATATGATTTTACAATGTTTGTCCAAAAAGGGTCAAATATTCTATTATAAATGCGTCTTAAAAATGGATAAGCTGCTTAAAACTACAATATTCAGTATACACTTAATTGGATATTAATCGATAGGAGATTCTTTGTTATAAATATGTGGGTATCATTTTAAATTATGCCAATCAACTTATAAATCTCAATTTCACTTTGTCGCATTACATTTTAATGGGCCGTATTGATGTAGGTCATTTCATCACCCCAATCAGCACCGGATAGTGGTTGTTTCGAACAGCACGCTTTTTGCAGTAAATAGGTGACATGCTTTTGTCGCAGCACACAAATATACAGAACAAGCGGCGCCTGAATTGCGCTGATCGCTAGATTTATATAAAACATGCCTTCGTATTCAATCCACGAAATAAGCGTTAGTACATATGAAACTGTTAGCAAAATTAACAGCAACGCAAACATAATAAAACTGAAATTGGAACAGAAATGTAGATAAGATAAAATGAACTTGTTTGGAAAAACTAGAAATGTTGTTTACTTGGACTTGAGCTTATGGTGAATTCGTCCGTAGGAAGCATTTAGACGATTGCTTAGATAATTTTGTGTGGAGACATAGAAATATATACTCAAGCCGATGACAATACAATTTGTGACAAAAAACACCAACAAACACAACACACCTGTTGATATGAGAATGGAAAAAATTGGAGAAAATTGATATTTTACGATAAAAAAAATGAATTCAGGTGAAATAAAATATCAATCAAGCACCTATTGTTTCATGTTCATCGACCAGGGAATTTTTCTTTGGTATGTTTATGTCGAGGAATAGATGGGCGAATGTACCCAGTGATGCCATACAAAGAGTTGAGCCCCATGCATAAAACGAGTACCAACAATACTTTTTGCCATCGGTGACCCGGAGAAACACGTTTCGTTGACGAAAAGTCTTCCAGATGAAGTAACCCAAACTGCTCAGCCAAAAGAACGTTGCCATTACACTCACTTCGGCTAGAATGTCTGCGGAATTGAATACAATAAGGAAAAAATATATCTCTTAATTTGTTGTACATGAATATAAGGCTATTGGCCCCATTTATTATCAAACTAAGTCAAAGGAAAAAGGAAAAAGTAATTACCCAAGATCAAGAAATTGAAATGGTTCCGGAACTCGGTAAAAATGCGCATAAGATTGGCTACTTGGCCGACGATAAGGCAACATGTTATCGTTGTGATAATATTCCCAACCAAATCTCTGTGAATTAAAAATGGGCATTTATTTTCTTCGTTTTGATATCATTTGATATAAATGAAATCATTTAAAGGGCTTTGTTTATTTATTTTTTTCTTTTTAAATAAGAAAATCTTTTAATATTCAGTTTTTCATTGTTTTCGAATTTGGAAATCCATATCGTTTGGAAACATGGATTTGTACGACTAACCTCAGTGACGGAACGACAAAATAGCAAATTCCAACGACCAAAAGGATTGTAATCGAAATGCCATGACACACGGGATTCACCACTTTTCTCAGCAAAAAATCCGTATCCTTCCAATTGCTCTCTTTTTCTGGTGAACAAACCATTGCGAATTCCGATGGATAGGTTATGCCCTTGGTTGCGACCGCCTGCAATCATTTTTAGATGTAACATTTTTCAATATTTTGCATGTAAATCGTTTGATTATTTGATTAATCAATTCAATCCGATTGTATTCACCGAACGCTATTCAGCGTTTGTTTTTGTTTAGTAAACATTTTGTACGCACCCTATCCATACAATATTGGCCTTGTGCGTAGTCGTACAGCATCGTTTCTTCCGACTTTTCAACATCACTATCGAATGCTGCGTTGTCGTCATCATCGGAATTTTGAATGTAGTGACGTAGTCTGCCATCAGGTAACAGCGCTAGGCGATCGCGACTCTAATGAATTTAATAAGTTTCATTGATCAAAAAGCACACTTAATTCATATTCATGAGCGTAAATAAAATACGAAACTTTAAGCATGACTCATTAAGTTTTTTTGCTAATCGGGCAAAAAACTGGCATTGAAAGTGGAAACAAATTTGGTATTTAAAGCACTACTAAAGGAAAATTGGTGTTTTTACCGTTGGATAGTAATAAATGGGCCACATTTGTTTTTGGCTGCATTGTGGTATACCGACAGCAAACCAAAATCCAGGCACTTGAGCATTTGCCTTTCCATCAAACCCGGTAAATATCGGAGACCACACTTCTAAACATGAACAACAACAACGAAACAACATTACTTGTAATTAGACATTCCGACGGGAAATACTCATTTCATTACAAAATTGAATTGGTTTTTCTTTGTTCGATTAAAACACTCATATGAAAAAATTGATGGCATTTTATTCATACCTTGATTCGATTCATTCGCATTCGCACACCTTAAATCTACGAGAATCTCATTTGGTTCACAACACTTATTAACACGAACCGATCCATTATTGTAATCGGAGCGGAAAGATCGACAGTTACGGCACAACACCAATAGAACGATCAACAAAATCGTCGTCAACTTATAGTAAAACATTCTGCTGCTAACGTGATTTTTAGCATAATATCAAGTGAAAATGCGGCAAGCTCATGGAAGTTTTGTTATAAATATAACCAGCCGTATTGAGATTGTCGGCTATAGACACACTTTAGCTTTTGTACACCGCGATCAATAAATACAAAACCTAAACGCGAATCTACAAGTCAATAAAATGCAACAACGTATTGTAACGCAATACCAATATTTGTAAAATAAAAATAAACACTATAAAACACAAACAAAATTCTAGCGAATCGGAAAAAAGTCGTCAAAAAAAGTAATAAATCGATTGCTATAGCTTGGTGTTCGCATTGAGAATACACAAAACAAGCAATATAGGCAATGCGTGATGTATGTGAATCTATGTATATTGAACTGAGACTGTGATGACATTTGCTATGTTTGGTTTGCATGAACGCCGATATACTCTCTCCGAAACTGAATATAACCTGCAAATATAGTGGCAGAACAAAAATATCAAAACATGGAATGAAAAATAAAAAACATTATGGAAAATATTGATTGGATTTTCAATTGAAATGTGCTTTGTTTATATAAAAATCGATTCAATGGAATAAATACCAATTGAAACCAAAAACAAAATACAAAACGAAATACACTTGAACGCATTTCAAGTTTGTACGGTGAACGCACCCATTCGGTTCGGTTTTCAATGTCACATCGATTGCATGAATTCTGTCGTTTCATAAAACGTCACATTTTATTCAACAGCATTATTTTGTTTCAAACGGCACGCCGTAGTTTTTATTCACACTAAAATTTTAAAAAAATCTGCACAGAAAATCCAACAAATTGCATTTGACTCCATCATAATCGGCGAATAGTTGAAGTCAATAAAGAGTTTACCGTTTTAAAACACAAGAGGAGAACAAAAAAATTTTGGTGACGAAAAAAAATACGATGGCAAAACGGCGACCCGATCAACAGTTAACACAGAATAATTGGGATGAAGAGCTTGAGAGAGACGAAGTCGGTCAATTTCAGAAGGCCGACGAAAGTGAAATGAAACAACGTGTGATTCGTGTGGCAAAGCGACGTATTCGTTCGGACGAAACGGATGGCAATGAATCGAGCGCAAAACCGGTGTCAGTATTTTCTGGTTTCTCATTGCTTTCAAATAAATCATCGACACTCGGTAGCGATGCAGCACCATCCAAACCGATGTTCAGTTTTGGTAGTAGTTTTTCATCGCAACCACCGGCGGCCAGTGCTCCATTCAGTGCATCTTCAAGCGTTACAACACCATCGTTTGGTGGTCAACTGAAAGTCGATGATAGCAAATCGTCGGAATTCGTAACGAAACTCAAGGAATTGAACGATGCGGTGTTGAGCTGCATCAAAGGTCACATTGAAAGTGGCCAAGCGTGCATTCTTACGCCAATTTTCAAGGATTACGAGAAATACGTGAAAGAGTTGGAAGGCAAGAACAAAAATGCTACAGCAGAATCGCCGGCCAAAACAAATCATGCAAACAGTACAGCCAGCACAGCTCCAACGGCATCGTTTTCGTTTTCATTCAACGTGCCCAAACCCACAACGACCGCTGATGCAGAAAGTACGACCGCCAGCATCGCTGCATCTTCAATTGTTGTGGCGCCAACGCAAAGCTCATCGGCCACTCCAATGTTTTCGTTTGGTAAGCCATCAACCACATTTGGCACGGGATCGTCTGGTTTCTCATTTTCGAGCGCAATTCAAACAACGAAACCGGCTGAGAGTGACAAGAAAACGGACGGCGGTACAAATGGCAACACAGAAAATGCCGAAGACGAAGATGATGAGCCACCGAAGGTGGAGTACAAGCCAGTCGTTGAAGATGAAAGCTTCTATTCGAAGCGATGCAAGGTGTTTGTTAAGGATGCCGGTGATTACAAGGATCGTGGCACTGGTACATTGTATCTAAAGAATGTGAAGGACGATAAGGTGCAGCTGATTGTTCGTGCCGATACGAATTTGGGCAACATTTTACTTAATATTCTACTGTCATCAGCCAGTCCCGCCAAACAACTCAAAAATAACGTCGTACTCGTGTGTATACCAACACCAGAATCCGAACCCAAACCCAAGTCTGTCTTGATTCGTGTCAAAACCCAAGATGATGCCAAGGAATTACTCGAAGAAATTGAAAAACATCAATAATTGAAATGGAAAAAAAACAACAAAACAAACAGAAAAATGATCGTTGTTACAAAAATCCTCATACCATTTTCATTAGATTTTTTCCTCTTTTAAACTGAGTTTTGATGAAAAACACAAATTACGTTCTTGTTAAATGAAATAAAAATAAATGAAGAAAAAAAAATCCACATTGAAATAAAAACTCAAGTCAAGAATAGTTTACTGCAAATCTTAATTCTTTATTTTATTCGCTTAAATGCACATTAGTCGAAATTGAGCGGTGAGTTTGGCCATTGTACAAAAACAAAGTAAGTAAATCTCGGTGAATGTAAGGTAACTATATAAATAACGTGTAATTGTGTTTTACTATGATGCTTAACGTTAACTACTTGGATGAACTGAATTTATCCCAGAGACGTTTTCCTGCCGTTACAAATGAGTGCAGAATATTCGCCATTTTTCAATTTGTCGATATGAATTGACCCTGTGAACGCAATATACTGCTTTCGGATCGAACGTATTCGTCACATATTTTATCCATATCCAAATCTGCATTCAGCACTAACACCTGAAATACGCAAAAACAAAGCAATCGAATGAGAAAAGCATGAGTCATGAAATATACAGTGGATTGATGTTTTCAAACTTCGTTCACTACTGCGCCGATTACAAAGTAAAAGAATTCACAAAAATGCGTTTGGAAAAAGTGAAATGGAATTTTACCGGAGCTGGACGATGTTTGCGTCCGTGCATGAGCCAATCTTCGTGTAAATCGTGTAATTGTTTCAAGTAATCCAAACTAACAGAATCTTCTTCTGAGCGTCCGCGTGCCTTCATTCTTTCGTACACAACTTCGGGCGTCGTTCGTAAATACACTAGCAGCAAAAAAAAACGGAGGTCATCAAACCATCATTACAATTCGAAATTTGTGCAAAATTATTTTAATGATATGACCAACACCAAATGATTATTTCCACCCGCATTCATTCCAAAAATGATTACCTATTAAATCGGCTTGAATGTGAATATTCTCGTTGATATAATTATACCATTCTTGCATGATATTGTACATTCCCTTGTGAAGTGTGTTGTTTGCCAACATCGCCTCGACGAAGCAGTGTCTATGGAATGTAAAATTGATTGAAAATCGAGTAATTAAAACACTTTAGCTTCGCGTGCACAATTAAGAAGTAGCAAATATGCGCTTACCTTGCACTATACAGTGAGCGTTCCATCAGTTTAACACGTTTGCTTGTGTATTCCGTGTGCGTTTGCAACATCGTCAGCGTCACATATGTTTGGAATGGAAAGGCCCACTTGTGACTTTCTTTATACATCAGTTCCTGTGGATAAACAAACAAAAATAGCAAATGATAAATAAAAAGTGTAAATAAATCCCAAATGGAATGTGAATTCATTCTAATCACGATTGCAATGAGTCATCGATTGCACATGGGGCCACATTTATTTCGTGCCTAATTCAAGCGACGCGTCATTTTTATTAAATTTGGCGCGAAAGAAAATTAATTGGCCTATTTTGTGACGATGCTAGTGAAAGTAATGTTAGGAAAATTAAATTATTTACAAAGAGATTGATGCCTTGAACATTACGCCATTTTTCAACGGGTTCGGTGTACAGACGAACATCATCGTATTTCTTGAAATGATTGAGAAATGTGGTTTTGCCTGCTCCGATATTTCCTTCAATAAATACCGTAAATGGTGCTTTGCGTGGCGACGATAAACTCGGAATGGATGTTTTCAATACTTTCGACATTTTTACAACAATTCTTTTTCTTAATATTTATTTTTCTATTCCAGAACACTGGTCGTTACAAATGGGAAAATTTTATTTCACAATACACTATAAGAAAATTCCGCTCACACACAACACGATGTATTTGACATAGAATACAATGAAAACACCATCCGAACGTTTGCTAAGTCGTCAATCATACGCAATGATGAAATTGCGCCGTTTTTGACGTTTCAAGTTTATGTTTGTTGTTTTTCGTTCGGTTGGAGTGCGTTCGCAGTGTGTGCGTTCGTCTGTGTGTGTATTTCGGTTTCGAACTTCGAATTTCGATGATGTTCTAGTATATTAAAACAATTTTGAATTTACTAACGTTCAAAAGGGTTGAACAATTTAATCAAATAAACGATAGGATTGAACCGGACGATTGAATTGTGATTGAACTCATCGCAGTGATAGATAAACTTGTAAATATCATTCGACAAATTGGAAAATGAAAAATGAAATTCAGACCCGAATGAAAATAAATCGAAAAGTATTCAAAGAGGGATGGAGAGCGAGAAAGAGAGAGAATCCCATCAAGTTTCAATTCATCGTGCATATTGAATTGGATGTTTGGTTTATTTGATCAAATAAACTCTATCTGTTCGGCTTAAAAAGTTAGAAATATTGTCGCTGGACCGGAAAGTCCATGCTCACACACACACACACATACAGAACATTGTTGTCATAAATCCGTCTCGGAATGAACATGTGCAATTTATTTTTATTTTTATTTTTATATGCAAACAATTTTCCATCGCTTTTAAATTTTGGAATCGGGTCGATTGGCACCGTGCGGCCAAACTTGCTGCTGTGTGACCACATCGCACACATGTCGTGTGTCTGACCAACGAAAATATTTACAAATAGAAACGATAAATTGCCATAAAATTGATAGAGATAGAGATAGACATAGAGAGAAACAGATGAATACCGACGAACCAAAGTAAATGTAAAGTAGTACGCAAGGCATGGAGGCAATTTCATTTGCTCGCACAATACACACACACGCACACACAAAAGTTGGTACCGAACAAACAAATCGTGTTAAAAACTTTAGGGAAATTTTTTTTATGGCTAAACCTTTTTTACCATGTAATATCCATAAAATGAAGACACGAGTTGAGAACAAGTATGTTGATTATATGTTCTTCGTTTCTCCCCACGTTGCGACGATGAGTGAGTTTTGTTATTTGTGAAATGTGTCAGCCTTCGAGCGGGCTCTTGCTTAAGTACCTTGTCGTATATAAATAAATGAGTCGATGAGCATTGGTGTGCGCTCGTTTGGACCGACAGCCCACCGCGCGCGCCTCCGCTGTCATATAAACATGAAAATTTGCTCACATTATCATTATTATTGGCATATTTTGAATTGCTTCGCCCATTAAATTACAATTTGCTCGTTTTCCATTCGATTCAATATCACTCAATCGATGAATATTTCATAACAACAACGAACTCTCGAGCATTAAAGGTTTTTATCATCGATCGTCTATTTTTCCGATAGTCTAACATGAAGCACATGACTATGTGCCATCTCTATCGCATCGAAACTAGTTTTTTCTAGTCTATCAATGAATGGCCCGACCGACCGATAAATGGTGCATACACATACACACCGTGTAGGCTGGTGGAGATGATGAACAAGGAAGGTTCCAAAAGCATGCGACACAAAGAACTTCGAACGAAACTGGCTGATTAAATTGGAAACGAATATTGTTGTATGCCGTTCGCATTGCTATGGCATTGATGAAATCAATCGAGTTGAGATATCATCGATACGGTAGTCGCACAATGGTACTGCTGCTTTTGGCTGCTCGCAAGTTGTTCGCAGTACGCTGTACAGCTGGAGAGCTTTCTTGTTTTCGCACTCGCATTCGCAATGTGAGCGAACATGTATGACCATGGAAGGACATGCGCAAAACGCATATAATCCGTTACCGAAAACCGAACCACCGTTAGCCGTTCCCCTGATATATTTTTTTTTCTTCTTCCTCTTTCAGTTCTTTCCTATGCTCGTTCTTTGGGTCTCTCGCTCTGTGTGAATGTATTTGGCGAAAAATAGGAAAAAAATGCTTGTGCTGTTGTTCGCTTAGCGTTCGTTTCTTGGCAATTTTTCGGGCTCTTGAGCTTTGATTAACTCGTCTCTATTGCGAGCCACATCGCACACCATAAGTACGTATAACTTGAGAATTTGGCACCAAACGCGCAACGAGCACAACGAGTGTCAGTGCATGTTGTAAGTGTTGTTTCGCCGAAATAAAAGAAAAGAAAAAAAACGAAAAAAAGCAAGAATTTTCTCTTGTTCCAATAAATAGTGTGTATGGTGTGTGTGTTATTTGTTCCATCCCTTTAACATCATCGTCAACATTTTTCCATTCAATTGGCTCAAGCCAGAAATATATACCTACATCAAAATTCGTAGAAGAGAACCGAAAAAAGAAGGTTTAAGTTTTTACCAAGAAAAAAAATTCAAAATAATCAGACGGGAAATAATTGGTGGTGTGTGTTCCATAAAATCGCATTTAAACTTATTATCGTAATTATCATTGTAATTTTAGGTTTTATTCACGCTCCCCGCGCGCGTCGCGCTATTCCGACGTTGAATTGCTTGCGATAAATCTGTAATTTTGTTGCTCACAGTGTGCTTTGATTTTGGTTACATGTGTTTTTATGTGCTGTGTGCGACCCAATGATTAGCAACTGGAAAATATTATAAAAAGCAGCGATTTTCATTTTTTGTAATCGCTTTGTTTTCAAATCAAGGCAAATTTAGCACGAACAACGGAAACATTCAATGAAAAGGAAAATAACAGCAGCAACAGAAGTAGCAGCAGCAGCACCACCACCACCATAACCAGCGAAAAGTCTATACACAAACACGTTAGCCCGATCTGAGAGACGAAAAACAAGGGTAAAATAGAAAAGCGAACGGCGTAAATAGGTCTTTGGCATGTGAGATTTAACGGTACAACGTGCGTGAACGTGTGCACTTGAATTCAATTTGCATAACAATGAATTTATGCCCCAGAAATTTTCTTTTACTTTGGGCACATATTCGATGTGTCGCTGTTGCTAATTTACCCCATTCGAAAAGCAATTCATTTCACGTAGGAAGCGAAAAATCCACTCAATCGAAGAAAATGTTAAACGATTTTCTCTCGCGAATATTTTTGCTGGTGTTTTGGTAAAGTGTTTCATATAAAACGGTGGCATCGCTCGGCGAATGAAAAGTGTGTTCTCGCCTTTTGTTATATCCTTGTTTCGCATAGAGCGCTTTTATATCGTTCAACTAAAATTTCATGATTCATTTTGTTTTCGGAACACGAGAGAAAGGTAGAGTGTGGGAAGGTGAGTGAGAGTGAGAGTGAGAGCGATAGAGAGAAAATATTCATAAAAAACACGGCATTAGACTAATCGCTTTTCATCTTTGTAAATGAGAAATTGAATACTTTTTTCGAGAGTGCTATATGCTTTGTCAGCCCATCACAATTTTCATCCTTTTGTTTCGGATAAACGTGGATCGAACAAAAGTAGCAAATACCAAAGGCAACAAACGACCGTAGCAAAAAACAAAGTATAGCGAAAGAGAAGAGTAGAGAAAGAAAAACGGATGACAACGTCTGCAATGGAATAGTGAAACGAGAACGTTTCGAATCGTATATGAGCGAGTAAGCGAGTGAAATAGAGCTCGGGGCATCGAGCTTTGTGTATTGAGCATCTCCTCCGCAAATGTGTGGCGTGATAAGCTAAATGTAAATTCGAGGCTGAAAGGTTGTGTTTGCTGATAGTCTGCGGATGTTGCTGCTATCGCGTGCACCGGGCTCTATGTATACCATTTTACAATTGTGTGTGCTGCGAAAGTTTCATGCGGATATTTTCTCTCTCTCTCTCTCTCTTTCTCTTGTTCTCTCTCGTTCGCTCGCACTCCATGTGTGTATGTATATGTGCATGCATGGCATAAATGCCAAAGGCTGCTGCTGCTGGCAGCCTCTTGATATGTGTGGGTTAAAATGTTGGTTCAATGTTACACATTTCTAGCGACTTTGTCTCGTGCGAGTGGCGAATTTCTAGTTCATACTGGTTTTCTTTTTCCATCTTTTCTCTCGCCCCAAGTTACACACGCTTTTCCACATTGTGCTAAAAACTTTGCTGCATACACCACAAACACAACGGCAGCGACGCGCTTAATGGTACCTACACATATCCGCAGCCACTTAGTCTGGGACATTGTGCGAGCATCCGAAGGGAAAAACGCCCATCTGCCGCTTCTACTACTATTGCTGCTGTTAGCCTTTCCACTACACACAACACAAACTAAATTGAACGCAAATGCTCGTTTCGGCCCTTCATTCGTTCGTTCATTTGTTCGCTCGTCCACCCGATCGCTGGCTGGCTTTTTTTCATAAATTCGCAATGATGATGCTGCTGTCGTTCTGATGAAAAGCAAATTGATGATGCATCAAAGCACGAACGTTGAATACAAATAAATTAAATCTCGACTCTCGCGTTTCTTTCTCTCTCTCCATCTACCACTCATTCACCAGCCATCGCGGCCGTGTTTCGATCACACAACACAAAATCCAAGTGGGCATACATTGAACGTTATCTAAATGCAAATGATAGTGCTGGCAATTTAACTCATTATTATTTATTGTTTATTTGTTGAATGCCAACAACAAAGAAATACACTTATGTTACCTTTTTCTTCCCACGTAATCGTTTCGTCTCATTTCGCGCTGTGCGTACAGTGTGCACATAGTGTGCTTGTTCGTCGACGCCACTTTGTTTTGCAGCCGCAAGGCGCAATCACATTTGGAATCGGGGTAGAATCGCAAAAAAGCCATAACACACAGTGGCAAACAATAAAGTCCAAGTTTAAAATAACAGGTAACATTTTGTGAAAAACGCTGATACGTGAGGGAGGTAGAGATTTTATGACGCAGCGCATTTTCCAGAACGTGTGCGTACTTTCAAATCCGTCTAACAATCACACGAACACAATCTCTCTCTCACTCTCGCTCGATGTATGTATCTCTCATTGCGAGATTTACACACCAACCGTGAACTGATTCATTGAATGCGAATGAATGGAACTTCTGTTTTGCAGCAGTAGCACGTTGTGCTCCTTCAACTGGATAATTCGAAATGTTTTTTGAATGGAAAAATGATGAAGCGCAATTGAATTATCGGAGATTTGAATGCGTGCGCTTTTGTGTTTGTATCGGGGTTCGGAGAGGATTGGGGGTTGGATATTGTTGCTTGACGAGGCCATCGAACTGTGTGCCTCAAAACAAGTGGATTACTTGAAAATTGCGTTGCAAATTTCAAATGCTATCGATACCAAAACCATATATTTGCGTAAACAGTAATTGGTTTCATTATAGCAATTTTCATGTAATTCCACGAACATTGGAATTTCTGCTGTAACTGCTGCTGCTACTGCGGCTGTGGAATTGGCAAACCGAAGAATTTCGCTGGCATGAAGGGATAAAATTTATGGCCAATGCGAAAACCAGAACCGCCCAATTGGGAAAATGTGCTAAAATATTGTACAATTTGTACATATACTGTGTACACTTCGTGTCTCATTGAATAAAATATTACAAAGTGTACAGTGTACACATCCTTCTATGAAATTAGTGTATAATTTGTACATTATAACTTTTCATATATTTAGGCGATTTGTACACAGATTATGTAAAAAAGGTGCATTTCAAATATATTGATTTTTCAAGGCCCGATTTTCAGTTGAAATATCTACAAACAAAGAAGGCATCACAAAAAATGATTAATTTCTTCAAATGAATAGCACTAAAAGACGTTTTTTTGAAGCATGAAAATAACATTCTATTTTTCTTTGATTTGGTCGAGATATCGTTCAAATTCTTCTAATTTAATCCCTGCGTGTTTGCCTTTCGGCGAACGATTGCCTTTCGGCGAACAATTGCTTTTCAAAGCCTTGATGAAATGTCGCAAATGAGTTCGAAGGCTGTTGTGTCTCATTGCTTTGTTACAATATTTGCATTGTTTTTTCTTCGCGACTAGTAATCCGTTTTTACGGCGCACCTTGCATGTCTCGGCTCGATGGTTGGACAATGTGTACTTTCGGTCACACTTATATTTCAATACCGAATTCTTCGGAATCTTTTTCGAAAAATAATTACGCTCTGTGGATATTTCAGCCGCGGTGTGTGCTATTGTTGCATCGTCATCAGTTTCAAGCGGCTGTAATTCCAATGCTTCATCATCTCTCTTTGCAGTATCACCAACCTCAAGTGGTTGTAGTTTGATTTCCTCGTTCTCCATCGTTGCAGTGTCATCAGCCTTCAGTGGTTGTACTTCGATTGGTTTATCTTCCAGCAATAAACACAGATCTGTTTCTCAATACAACATCGACACAAATATTAAAAATAAATGTATTTAACCAAAGTCTTTCAAAACTGATGGCGGCGGTGGTGGAACGAATTTCAACACCCGAATTTTTCTGATGTCTTCTTTTCGCGTTCACCAATATGGGAAAACAAAAACACACGCACGCATACACATAGAGCAGTTATTATATTTTTCGGTACTGTGAGCGATCGCACTGTTCGTTGTTCATCAATGCATCGCATTATTTCCATCATCAATTGATTTAATTCCACATTTTCTCTTTCTATTCTTTTTGCTCTGAATTTCAATTCTAGGGATCTCATCTCAGTATGAATTCGTAATAACGATAACGGAACGTAACCTACGCCAAAAACGCAAATGTTGAACACCGAAACATAGGTAATAAGTGTAGTGTTAAACCACCAAACCAAACAACAACAACAAAAAATAATAATAGAATTGCTGTGATATCATTATAAAAAGTCGTCTAAATAGAGATTTACACAGAATTTTGTATAAATACGAGAAACAAAAAAAAAAACATACACACGTACAAGCTGCATACGACATCAGAAGGCATTTGACGAATAATAATATCCAAGGCGAATGAAAGCACACGGTGAGCGCACGCCAAGGAAGTCGAGCGAAAAAAAAGGTAGAAAAAGTAAACAGTAAACAACGCACCGGGGCGAAATATCATAGCGCGCAGAAACAGAAAGAAACCACCAGGACAGCTGAACGGGAAGGGAAACAACAGCGAAATAATAAACCATAATAACACATTCGCTAAAGCTCAAAGACAATAAACGCAGCACGAGCATAGATTCACGTTAAAATTTAAAAAGCACCGTCGTCGTCGTCGCCGTCGTCGTTGTTGCTATCGTCGTTTCTGTTGTCGCTGTTGTTGTTGTTACACAGTCGAGCCGCCCAGCAACTCTCGGAAGAGAGGAATAAGAGACCATAAAACACATCGAACGAAATGGGCAAGAAAAACTCGAAGCTAAAGCAAGATACGATCGACAGATTGACAACTGATACCTACTGTAAGTACACTTGCATTGATGGATTCATTTAGCGTAGAGACTGTAAAAAAAATTTATAAGCGAACTTTCCATGTTTTCCTTCCACCACTTTCTCGTGTGTTATCGTTTTCTCTCTCTCTCTCACTCTAACAATTTCGTTGATTCTGCAGTTTTTTCTGTTCTCTTTTTTGTTCTTCGCCATCCCAGAGTTTCTTTTTTGTTGATTCGATTGAACATGATTACCGCTATATATATAGTGATGTGTGTGTTGCCATTTAGATATGGTGTTTCCATTCGTTATGAACAATTTTACTACATGTATCCTTCCACACCGTGTTATATACTCTAAGAAGAAAAAAACACATATGTTGCCATTTATAAAACCGTATTCATCCTAGTTGAATGTTGTACAAAGTGAATAACCATGCTTTATCAGCTCTGTCTCTCACACCACTGCCACCGATACCACAGCAGCAACAGCAGTAGCAGCAGCAGCAGCAGAAGAGGATAAAGGAATAACACTAATTTAATTTAATTTTCGTTCCTCAATTTATATTCATCCTTTTGATTACATACACACCATACCGCACATTATTCAATTTTCCGTGGTTCTCGTGTTACTGTCATTCCATACGACAGTCGTGCAGCTCCAGTTTTTTCTCGGTATTTTATGAATATCAGCATAATCTCCCTATCTCTCTCTCTCTCAGCGAATAAATTTTTTTTTCTTTCCATATTTTCAATATTCCGTCACACACTATCGTTTTTTCTATTTTTACGCTTCAAATGTTTTTTTGTTATTGTTATATATTGACATTTGTCTCGCCATCGCGACGAAATTCGATCAAATGAATGAATTCGTTTATTGAAAATAAAACGAATTGTGCAAATTCATGTAAATTTGATTAATTTTACCGCATTGACATCACTATGTATGTATAGTATACACGCATACACAGCAGAGAAAAAAAAAGATGAATAATAACAACATCAAGCTTTTTGTCCCGTTTAATAACTCGTTCAAACACATTCTATACATATTGAAAGAACGATTGAATTTTTAATCTAGTTGTTTGCTTCCAATTTTATTCATTCTCTCTCTCCTGCTCTCAATGCCTCTCCATTTTTATATATATATATTTATACAATGCCATTTCTGAATTTCGTACTTTTCCAATGATTATTATAAATGTGTATATTATTTCCCGATTTTCAGTCACAGAAAAAGAAATAAGACAATGGTAAGTAATTCGAATGGAATCTCATGGAAATTGATTTCACCACATTTAGAATATAGCAACATGAGTACACAGAGAAACGAACACCATCTACATATACATAGATAAAACGAAATATAGATTTCTTAGACAGATAAACTTAATAAATTAGAGTGAAAATCGAATATTTGTACAGCAAATGAAAATCGTGTTTAAGCCAAAATCATGATGCAGAAGCGCTGATTCAATGCGACGGAATTCAGTGCGTTCTGTATTCCTTACCCCCATAAAAAAAGTCACAAATGCCGAAATAAAACTATAAATAGACGCCTTTAGTAAGGCTGTGTGTTTGTGTCTTTCGTTTGGGAGTTAGGCAATTTTCAATACGATTTTTATCGATGAATTATTTAGCGTAGCAGAGAGGAGCGGGACCGAAGCGAATCTGTATTCGAATCGAAAAAGCACCAAAACCTGCTTATGGTTTCTGAAGCGCACAGAGGGATTGCTGGCGCGCAAAACCATAATTCATGCACGTCAATGTGCCAAACCGCATATCCATTTGGAATCCGATTCACTTGGCTCTTGACTCTCTCCCTCGTTCTCTCTATCAAACTCAAACCCAAGATTTGTAAATAGTTATTTGATTCAATCTTTAGTTGCTTCTGTTTGGGCGTTAATTCAGATTGACATTTTACGAAGCGA